TCTAGGCTGCAGTAGTCCTACAGTACCTCACCCTGCTGCCTGCTCCTGCCCTGAAAAGCTTGTTTTCAGGCAGTAAGATCAGAGAGGGAAGGTGGGGGAAACCAAACACACATAAAACAAGCACTAAATACTGCTCTTAAGTTTAGGGAAAGAACTCTGCATTTTCTAGCTCTTTTAACCATTTTTGCCACCAGTTGAAAAACAGATTTGACAAAATTGACAGTAGACCAACACAAAACAGATTTCTTCACAGCTGGTGACTTTTATTTGATCAACTTTTGAGATCTTTTGGGCTCCAATAGAGTTAAAATTATTGACAGAGGCAAATTCGGCAACTCCAGGCTTCTTAAACTGATCAACCTGCACACATTTGGAGCTGAAAGGGATAAAAGGAACATTTGATTCAGCTATTTCATTTTAGAAGAAACTGAGGCAGAGTGATGCAGGTCTGACCCAAGGCCTCTTGGCAGGCCCAGGGCTAGAAGCAGCCTGGGCTAGCCCAGAGCCTTTGTCTTAGATCCTGCTACCCATGTCCCGGGCATCAGATTAAGGAAACAGTCATTAATGTCAAAACCCCACAGCAGGATGAGAAATTCCATTCCTCATTCTGGAACATGGGGATTAAAGATGTAATTTGAGAATCTCATCCCCTGTGCTGGACAGTTTTTTAGAGAAGGGCAGCACTTGAACTGGCACATGACATCACTGGCCTCTGGAAGCTGAATTTGATTTCAGTGATTTGTTTTTTGTTATAGGTCACCTTCCTGTTTAAGGGACATGTTTTCCCCACACCATGGTTTCTGCTCAGTAGGTTCCCTCTTCTTGAAGAGCAGTGATAATACAGATAAATTGAGTAAAATCCATGCAGATTATTTTTTTTAAAAAAGAAACTCATTCTTACCAACACTGAAGTTTCAGCTTTCTTCCTCATTAAGCCTTCTCTCACAGCTGCTAAAAATGAAGGCTAAAAAGTAAAGGGCTGTAAGCAATTCCAGGGGTAAAAAGCTTCTAATACATTAACGAAACAATGTTTTAAACAATTGCAAACTTTAAAATTCCCAATGCTTGATTTTTTATTTTTATTTTTTTAAAGATGACCGGTAAGGGGATCTTAACCCTTGACTTGGTGTTGTCAGCACCACGCTCACCCAGTGAGCTAACCGGCCATCCCTATATGGGATCCGAACCCGGGGCCTTGGTGTTATAAGCATCACACTCTCCCGAGTGAGCCACGGGCCAGCCCAAGGATCCAAACCCGGGGCCTTGGTGTTATAAGCACCACACTCTCCCGAGTGAGCCACGGGCCAGCCCGGTGAAATTACTTTTTAAGAAATTTAACTCTAAATTAAATTTTATTCTGATTTAAATTCATCTCGGAAAAATACGCCTGACAGGTGGCCTTTATGTGATCTCTCTCATTTAAAAACATACTCTATTGGCTGGCCAGTTAGCTCAATTGATTAGAGCGCAGTACTGTAACACCAAGATCAAGTGTTCAGGTCCCTGGACCAGCCAGCTGCCAAAAACAAACAAACAAACAAACAAACAAAACCCCAACATACTCTATCAATGAATTCCATCATTCCTGTCTTTTAGTTAAAAGATTTTCCCTTGACAAAAAGCTTTCCACCAACTCTACATTTCACCTTACCTTAAAGATGAAGAAACATTTACATAACAACTGTATAATTATGGATCAACCAGTAATTTGATTTTGGAGAGGTTCAATAAGCCGTAAGACCAGAAACAGCAACATAAGACAAAAATAGGTTTGAAAGAATTTGAGGTATTTTAATCAATTTCTTAGTAAAAGCCATGTGGATTCTATTTAGCTTAAGTCACATGTAACATGGCACTTTACGTTTCCATATACACCTACATGGAACACCTAGCCATTATTCTAACAAAATAAAGTAAAACAAAATGAAATAAAACAAACTCTAATACAGCATATATTTTTATGACAGTAACACATTCTAGTAAGGATTATTTAAATGCAAAAAGACCTAGTCATCTGCTATAGATTCAATTAAGTTTTTGCTAATATAACTTGAAAGACAAAATGTCATTTAACCATATATTCCTTTACAGCAGGATTTCTCAACCTGAACTCTAACGACATTTTGGGCTGGATAATTCCTTTTTTGTGGGGGCTGTTCTTTGCAACATAGGATGTTTAGGACATCCATGGCTTCTACCAACTAGAGGCCAGCAGCACCCACCCAATTGTGACACCTAAAAATTTTTTTGAGAGCAAATCCTCACTCAACAGATCCCACCTCTGTAAAAAGGCAAAGGAGCCCATTCAAATGCTAACCCTAGCTTAGCAGGGTGAGACAAAGGGCCATTTGGGAGACTAGAGAGTGGGGAATGCTTGGAGAACTTGCTAGAAATGTTTCTGGAAAAGGAAGGCAGCCAAACACCCATGTCTCAGGCTGAAAGAGGTTTGAAGAATCTATATAGTAAAATCCCCTCTCCTCAGGGTGGGTCGCAAACGCTTTCCTGGGGGTTTGGTATATTCCTCAGTTGCTTTTCCACCCTGGAATAAGTGGAAAGAGGGAGGTTGGAGGAGGGGCACTGAGTGGGGGAGGGTGTTTGCCAGTGGGTAACAGGTTTTCACAATTGGGCTATATGTATGTCCTCTACTTCGACTCAGAGGTAGTTTATGGAAGACAGTTTCTCAAAGACAGCAAACTATTTGTGTGTTCCTAGATTGGCACCCCACCCCACCCCCCGCCCCTACATATATGAACCTGGGGTATTGCTTAACAGTAAAGGAAGCTGGCCTCCCCATGTGCAGAATTTTGTTTTAAAAAACAGAGCAAGCCCCGTGTGTGGTGTGGGCTAGGCACCAAGGACTTTTTAAAAACTTGTTTATTCATCCTGCAACATGCTAGTTTTTCTAATGAAAAACCTAGCTCTGTGGAAAAACCGGTTCCCCATACTACTTAATCTGTGAAGATAGCCCCCACGCTGAAAAGCACACCAAAAAATCCAACAAAACCCCTGGCTTCTCTCGCCTGTTCAGTAACGACCTTTTGCTTGATGAACTCAGACTACTAAGACATTACCAGAGGAAAACACAACACTTAATGTCGCAGAAAGGAGCACACCATCATTGTTTGCATTAAGTAGAAATTTCAACTTAGGAGAGCTGCATTTCACGTAGGCATTTTCATGGTTTCAAGCCAAAAACAGGGCATGCCTGGCCCCTCTGCAGATCCTTGGCAGCCTCCAGACTTCTGACACCAACATGCTGCCGCAGGAAGCCCCTTACTAACAAACCGCCTGCCCCACATTTACTACTGAAGACCACAAAGGCGTCCAACTATGGCTAGTCAGCGCTGCAACCCAGCATAACTAAGTTCTGGGGGGCCGCGATGCGTTTCCTAGGGAAGAGGTCTTGGAAAAAAGATTTAAAGTGTTTTCCTTCTAGCACTATCCTTTTCTTAGGAGTTCAAGAACGCGACCATCTTTCATTTCAAGCCTTCTAAACACTTTACTTTTCCCCCAAATCATTCTCATCAGAATAACAAGCCGGCGCAAAACGAGACGCGCGAGCACCAGAAAAAAGGATTAATTTCCAAATCAGGTGAGGTTTTGTAAATACTTTTCACTTATGAACTCCCCCCCCTCCCCCCCCAGGATTGGCGAGAGGAGCACGCTTTCCGTGCGGAAGGTGCGTTACCGGCTTGCGGCTGATTTTGTGATGGGTCACCAGAGCAGTTTCCCCTCCAGGTTAAAGATTCCAAACTTAGCTCCACACGAGCGAGCTGAAAATGGCCGGAGCGCACCGCCTCCCCTCCCCGAAGCTGCCGAAGCCGCAGACCCCTGCCCCCTATCCACTGGTCGCCCAAGGACTGGCGCCAGATCCAACACCTTTTCCCCAGCTCGGAGAGTGCCGCGCTCTTTGGAAACGCATTGTACGGTGTCCTGGTGATGGATGCGACCCCTCTCCATCCTGTTCCTTGTTCCGCTTTACCTTTCCCCTGGCTTACCCCCTCTCTCCCGCCTCCAGGCCCTTACGCAAACAGCCCAGGACCTCTCCAGCCAAGCTGTATCCAGCCCCGCAGCCTGACCAGCTGTGCCGAAAGGTTGGCCATGCCCCGACGTGACCAAACCAGCGCAACCAACCCTGGTAGCCCGTAGGGGCACCCCCAAATGCTCCCGTACCTTCCCCGCCTGCCTTCCAAGTACCAGCGATTTGCGGTGAGCCTCCCGCTGGCCAGAAGTCGGCTCTGGGGCGCACAGGCAGGTGCGCACGGTCTTTGCGGCAGTTTCTGGCCCTGCGAGCGCCCAGAAGCAGGCGGTGGCGGCCAAGACTGGTGCACGAGAGCGGGGGGCACTGGCACCGAGGTCCCGCGGCTCCAAATTGACAGCGCCAGGACCTGGGCTCCAGGCTCTGAGTCTCTTAAGCACCGCGCGCCTGTGCGACTTCCCTCCGGAGCAGGTAGTCTCCGGAGTTCTCGCCCAATCCGATTCTGATTACTTTTCCGCACATTGCAACAGTGTCGCTACAGCGTGGCCGCTCTCGAATCGCGAAAGTTGGCGTGCGCACCTCCGAACCACATTTCGGGTGCCTGTGGAGGCCAACTAGTCTTTCTAGCAGGAAAGAAAGTGCATAATACAAGTGACTTACCAGTGCCGTCTGGGCGTGCAGCTCGAAACCTGGGGCGCGCTCGGGCTTCAGTCGCGCGTCCGGGGCACCAGCTCGGAGACCTCAGGTTGTCTCTAGCGGGGCGCACAGAGCACCCCGCCGTCCAACAAACCTTTAGCCACCGGGGCGCCCCTCTGTCCTGAGGAGATTTGGGGGAGCTCTTGCCACCTCCCCACTCCCCCAGCTCCCGGCCTGGCTAGCTGAGCCCGCTATCTTCCCACCTTGCTCCTAACCTGTTTTTTCCTTCACCTTTCCTTTCTCCCGCCGCTCCCACATCGCCCCCAGGGTCCCCAGTTTAGCGTTGGGCGACTAACCTGAATCCATGAAAACAAGGAGAATCTGGACGGCGTCCTCCATTAGTGACGCCGGATGGGGATGGGTCCCCTTTTGGAAGGGGACTCCGGGGACGGGTCGCGGCGGGTAGGCTTCTTCGGCTTGCAGCGGCGCTGCTTCTTCTCCTCCTTCTTGGGCTCCTCAGACTCTTCGGGGTCCCGCGGATCCTTATCCTCGGGCTTGGGCTCCTCCCCCTCACTGGGGCTCTGGGGCTCCTGAGTGCTGGGCGGCGCGCGACTTGGGGAGGCGTTGGGGCTTTGCAACTTCAGAGCGTGCAGACGCTCGGTGAGAGATTGGGCGTTGAGAGATTGGCCGAAGGTGGGGCGCTTGGGCACCAAGGGGCCGCGCTCGTCTTCTGGCTCGGTCTCGGGCTCAGTGGCGGGGGCGGTCTCAGGCTCAGTCTCGAAGTCGGTCTCGGACTCGATTTCGGACTCGGTTTCGGTCTCGGTCTCGTAGTCAAACTGTTCCTCGTACTCTAGGCACTCCGGGAGGGACAGCTCAAGGTCTGCTTCCTCGTGCTCGTGGTCAGAGTCGGAGTCGGAGGGCTCGGGAAATACCTGGGCGCCGGAGCGGTGGTGGGCGTTAAGGAAGCTCCGGCGCTGCTGGGCAGCCGCGCGCTGCTGAGCCCGGGCGTTGGAGGTGGCAAGGGCGCGGAGGAGCGCGATGGAGCAGGAGAGCCAGAGGAGCGCGGTGGCTGCGCGGCGGCCGATGGGTGGGCACAGGTCGTTGTAATTGTGGCGAGCTCGGCGCCACTGCTGAGACCGGGACCTCCGATCCATCCTCCTAGGCGCACGCAGAGAACCCGACCCGCCCTCTGGCCCTGCCGAGAGCGGCTCCGATGCGCATTGGCTGCTGGAACCCAAAAAGGTGCACCTTGTGAGGTGAGAAGCTGGGTCCAGAGACCCCAGCCCCACCTCGGTATGAGGAGAAAAAGGGAATCACCTACCTTCCTGACCACTAAGGAACTTTCTAAAGCTCCGCGCCTCTTCTTGCCTCTCTGAGCAAAATAAGGGATGGGAAAGGGGAAAAAAGGTCTGTCCCCTCCGGGGCTCCTCTCGCTGAGTCTTAGGCTCTGCAGTCTAAGACCCGGGAGAGGTGCCTCTGCTGGTCCTCTCGCCTGGGAGAGGAAAGAGGAGACTGAGGCGAGGAGAGACGGGGCGGTGAGGTTCTGCGAAGTTGCGCGCCCGGACTTCTGCCGGGCATGTGCAGTAGGAAGGGGGGGCCGCCTCTCCGCGGGCTGCGCTGTGGCGCCGAGCCCGTGGCGTAGACCCTAGTGGACCGGCAGGTGGCAGGAGGGAACCTTGTTTGAAAGGATCTGGGCGAAGCATCAGCTGGGGTCCTGGCGGGTACCAACGAGCTAGCAGGCGAGCAAGTCACCAGTTAGAGTACTTGGGCAGCTGGGCGCCCGTGCCCCATGGGTTCCGTACCCCTCTCCGACTTCTCCAAGATTATGCGTGAGGTGAGCACAGGCCCGAAGCAGCTAACAACCAGCCCGCAGAACTGCAAATATTCGGGGAAATCAGGGGCTGTGCATGAGCATTAAGGATCCAGCCCCGGGCACTTTCCAAGGGCTTAATAGTTTGAGGATGGTAACCTCAGGCAGTCATTAATCATGAAACCACCTTTGGCAGATCCGTTGTAGTGACTGTAATTAGAAAAGTTTCCAAAAAATACACTCCTGGTGCAGTCTCATCTGGCTAATTACCTCGTGGACAAATAAGCACTTTCCTTAAGAAGGGCCCCCACGGTGAGGTAGTGGTTTGCAAGGCTGCAGACCCATGGTGGACCGTCATGAGCTCTGTCTACCTGAGGACTGCATTGGAAGACAGACCCGAGCTGAGAGCACTAGTTTAGGGAAGGCTTTTCCGCACTTAGTCGATTCATACACTTCTCTGCCCCATGGGGCTGTCCAGGGTGGTCAGCTTTCATGGAATCCTCACTGGATGCCCCTCGAAGCTGTTTCTTACGGTTTTAAAAAGGTAATTCATTGAACAAATAGTCATTGAGTGCCTACCACATGCCAAGCTCTGTTGTAGGTGCTGGAGGTAGAGTAGTGAACAAAAAAAATCTTGTACTGAGGAAAGGATATTTAGGATCAGTCTGCTGTCAATCGGAACATTAAATCATGCAGAAGCCCTCCTTACCCACCAACATTGTTTAATCCAGCATGAATTCTGCTCGAGAAAACGATTGTATCAACCAGAGCACTAGGGCTAGGGGGCGGCCAGACACCGCTAGATCGCATTGTTGAATTCCGAAGGCTGAGGAGTTGGAGTAAATTAGCACCGCTCTTTCTCAGCCCTGGAAAATCAAATGAGCTCCATGGCGTATAGGAGAGATCCCTGCAGTGGGAAGCTCTTGATTTTCATCTGTAACCTGACTGCTTCTTTGGGGGTATGCATGTCTTCAGTCTTTCTCTCCATGTCAAATATGGAGTGCCCCTTTTGCCATAGCAACAAGTCCAAAGGTGACACAACTCAGAGCAAAGCCATCTTCCTGGAATCCATGGAAGGGTCAGCAAGGCTGCTTCACTCGGGACACATGTCAGATTCTTTTCTCTTTTTTGAGGCATTGTGGGGAAACTTAAAGAAGAGGCTGTACCTCTTATGCATCCCTACTTTGTCTTTGGAGGTGGTCCGCCAGGCATTTCCTCCCGGTACTCCTTCCTGGTGGCCAAACTTGTCCTCACACCCTCAGCACCATGCCTGCTTGGAAGCTGCCAGATGCAGAGTTAAGACCTTACTGAGATTCTGGCAACTGCTTTTGATATGCTAAGTTTTTCATTTTTGCATCTTGCTGTGTCTCTCTTGCCTCTCGTGTTCTGTAAGTTAGTTTTTGGCATTAAAACACTGATTGGTCTAATAAAATGGGATTTATTTTGCAAACCCCACAAAAAGACAAACATCTGTATTCTGGTTGTGCCCTACCCTAACACTTTCCAGAGAAACTGAAAGGATCTTATTATCACAAGTGTCTACATAGCTCTAGTCATTGTGTGGATATTATAATAGGACACTGGACAGGGGCCCTTGGAGCTGTGTATATTAAATCCTGATTTCTGTCTCTCAGCCTTGACTAACAGGGGACGTTTCTAAAGGGTCTGCTCGAATTGACCCACCTGCTTTCTTTGTTTCGGTTAGCACAGTTCCACTGACAGTGTAAGGAACATAGAGACATCATTTAAGCTGATTTCAGGGCATACTGGGGGAAAAAATCAGGAATATGTGGGTGCTGGTAAATGCCCTTTCAATGAAAACTAATGCCAGCTGTCTGCAATAAGGTGGATTATGATTCTTCAGTGTACATAAGAAAGTACTTCATTTTTCAGATGGAGTGCTTTATGCCTGTAATGGAGATGGCAACTCAGAGCTGATTCACTAATATAGATACACTGAAATTGCCAGCGTTATTAAAAAATGTGCATTACATAATACAAAATTTTGGACTATATTCTGCATTAGCAATGCACTCTCTTTGCAAGATATATATTTAATCAGCAAACGAATATTTAACAAAACACTCCATTTTCAAGCCTCTGTCATGTATAGTTACAAGTACATTTTGGTGTACATTTGACACAGGCTCTGGGAGGAGCAGGGGGACCTCACTGAAATACGGTTTCATCTCACACTTAGTGCCGAGGTCGAGCAAATGGATCTGTGCAGAAAATGCTCTTTAAAATGCATTACGTGCATGACTTTAAAAAGTGCTTGCTGTTCAGTGAATTTCAAAAAGGAGCAAGCCAGTGATGAACGACCTCAGTTGTTATCAGGCTAAGGAGCAAGGGGCTCTCTGTCTGCCGGTAAATAAAGTGTGATCATATATTACCTTCGGGGCTCTGCCAGAGGGAGGTTCCTAAACCAGCTGGACAGGAAAGCGCAGTTTCCAGTTCATTACAGAATCATACAATACAGTTTTTATTTGGATGAGTTGTGAAGAATATTGTCTTCAGCTCCTTAAAGGATTGTTATGTTGAAGAGGCTTTAAGATTTATTTTATGTGGCTCCAGAGGGCAAAATTAGAAGCTATTGGGTGGTAGTTACAACAGACATGTTTCAGTTCAGCCCAAGGAAGAATATTCTAACAATTAGGGCTCTGAAATGGAATGGGCCATCAGAAGTTTGCTCTTTGTCAGAAGTGGAGTTAAATCAAAGGGCAGATGAGCACATACTGGAGATGTTTTCCATAGTACTCATGAGCTGGGTAGAGTTGGGTCTTGATGCCCATCAAAGTTCTTTGTAACTCAAATTCTGATTCCATGAAAGGCATCTGGAGCTGTGGGAGCAAGACTTGGGGGCTCTATTGATGGACACGATCTTCCGACTCTGCTTCCATTTTGGAAGCATTTGAAAGTACAAGTGGCTCATAATAGGAAGGAATGTTTGGTGGCAATTTTAAGACATGGGTGAACAGGTGTGTGTGGATGGACCCAGCAGCCTGTTGTGGAGCTTTCATCACCAGGGCAGAACCCCGAGGCTCTGCTCCACAACTCACTTGTTGAAGCAAAGAAATTATTTAAGTCCATCGATTAGTTACATTGGTCCTCCTTGCCTCCCCTCCTGGAGCTCTTTCGGAAATTACAAATGAAATTGGCTATTTAGCAATCACGAGTTGAGTCACTTCTATGACCAAGACACTATTCTGGGTATTACAGGGAGATTGAAGTAATTGAAGATGAGCAATTCCTGCCATCCAGCAACATGCGTATCAATATGAAATGCTCCCAAATATTAAAAACAGACTGCCAACAGGTGCAGAATAATAAATTCCACACAAGATAGGTAGACAGGGGAGGGAAGTTGAGAAACAGTGATTAGAATTAGAGGTACAATTCATCTGGTGATTTTCTGAAAGAGTTGGGTTTTTACCTGGTCAACTTGGAGATTTTCTTTTGATTTTTAAAAGTCCATTAGAGGATTGCTTCCAATCCACCCGTTCCTTAGTGCAAAACCATGTTCTGGTTGCTCTGGGGGAGACTGAGATGAATCACAAGTTCTCAGGAGGCTTGAAGGCTATTGTCATGGGTCCCATAGACACCAACACATTTTCTAAGATGAGACTCAAGATAAAGGATTGGTTCTGCTCTGTATGGCGAGTGGGTATAATCGCTCTTGAACATATTTTTTGGACAATCATTGGAAAGGACTATTTTGGGAGATGGAGAGCTTTTCAAAGTTTCCTTTGGATATAAATGAATTAAGGGAGTTTGAAGTGCTCCCCACCCCTCACTGTGGCAATCATCCAGAAAGGCTCAACCCCACTGAGAATTTGGCATTGGCCCCTCCTGCCTTCTCCCAAAGAGGGACAATACAAAAGCATTTGGCTCATTTCTCTGGGGCACTATTCTGCTATTACTCAGACTGCACTGATATCAATTGGCTCTCACCAGTAAAAATGGTGAAAACCCCAAGCTCCTGATTTTATGATTTTGGGGGAATGCCATCTAGAGTTAAAGCAAACAATAGGGGGAAATAATCATCTTTTTGACACGGCTGGATTCTGTCCAGGCCATTGTTGGGATTACAATACTGTATTTGTGCTGTTCGTTTTTAAAGGGAGATCAGATCAGAAATGAACTGTATTCCTGCGCATGGAGATTGTTCGGAGTTGTCTTCTCAGGAGTGGCCTTTCCTTTCCCTTCACTTTGTGCTCTGTTGAGATTCTCCCACCGATACAGCACTGTCTCCCTCCCTCCGCCATGGGAGGAGTAATTTCCAGACTTCTGGTCAAACCGGAAATGTCTGCAAGTTCCCTCACTCAAGCAAAGCATCAGCTTCAGGGTACAGGCCCTTCTTGGACATGGCACCTCCCTTTCTCTGCTTTGACCCTGGAGCTTAGCTTTCGTGTGGTCCCTGGTTTAGCCGCTGGCCTCTGACCATTTGCCTTGCTTTGTCCTGTGGAAGTCAGGACTGGGTTCTGTATGTCTGTCTACCTCCAACTTACACTTTGCTTGTCTGGTTCTTCCTCATATCCAGCTGAGACATCAGTGTCCAAAAATGTCCCCAGCCCAGGTGACTTTGGCTTCATATGTCCTCCTTGGCTCCTGGATTGTCTGTTGTCCGGCTCTCCTGTACATCCCACCTTTCCTTCCCCCAGCCACCAGCAGTGACAGAGAGCCTCAAAGTTGTTTTCTCA